GACACCAAAAACGGCTGGAAACCCTAATCCAAGTGTTAGCCACGTTTTTGGGTCTCAAGGGTTCTTTAAGTAGGTAGGCAATTAGGGTTATCTAACAAGGAAATCCTAATTTGACTGCTTAAGCCCTAAGCAGCCCATGGACCCCTTCTGGAACATGCCTTGGACGATTTCTAATGGGCTTCCCATAGAATTCGTCCAACCTATTATTCCAAGGTGATCCATAGCCCAATTGCAATTATCCTGTAATTACAATTCCAGTCCCCCAAGTTTAATTAATCTCTTTTAGCCACAGAATTAATTCTTTATTAATTCTTGACTAATATTAATTAACCAATATGATTTCTCCTTTAATATATTATTCTTATAATATATCAATAAATCATAATTAAACCTTTCTCTCCTTAATTCATCCTACATATTGCTATGGTGAAGGCAACCCAAAAGGACCATGCTTATAATCGGGTCAAGTACATACCAAAATAGTTATGGACTTAGACACTAATCCGACATCCATGTCTTCACCTATCAACCCTAATGCATTACATGCACTTCGAAAACTTGGATGAAGATGACTAGACACTGTATGAACATCTTCATACGACTGACATCCCTTTTGATGACAGAGTAACATCCGAAAGTAGAATAACTCTCCTGAAGATGGATGCACAGACACAATTCTACCTATACTTTTTGAAGATTCCAAAACTCTCTGTCCCTATTCTTTGAATCTAGAATCCCATGTATATCTGTTAGGGTAGTCAATATAAGTAAGATCCCGACCCTTTGGATCTCTTACATTATTGTCAAACCATGCAAGTAGGGGTGTTCTAGCAAAATCAGGATTGCGAAGAACATCCTCTATTCTACCGGTTTCTTTAAACATAACATGTTGCATATTTAGCAAGTGAACATGCAATGTCATCACAGGGGGATGTCGTCGATGAATGAAAAAGTTTAACATTCTCCATGTGGCCTCATGTGGGCAAATGTAACGTGCATCCAAAAAGTTGTGAACTTCATTTACAATTGGGACCTGTGAATCAAAATCACTAGTAGCAGCTGCCTCACTTTTCTGAACAACAAACCTAACACGTTCAACTCCTTTTGAAATATATTTAAACAGGTATTTCACCATCATATTCCATCCATAATACTCAACATTTATGTGTGCATCAAATCAACTACACAATATCTTGTTGTATGGCACTAAATATCCTTTATCAATCATAATGCCACTTTGCATTATGTGATGTCTAAGTGGATTCCTTTTGTAGTGTGCGTAGCTTCTTTATCAAAAGTTGTAGCATCATGAAAAGGTTTAGGAAAGTGATTGCTACATTTCCCATCCTTCATACAAGGAGCCTTAGAATTTAACGGACCACACGGGCCATGAATCATACACGTCGTCACCGTCCGATAGAGAGACGCCTCCAAGACAAGATCTGGAAGTTCTGCACTTATAAAGTTATCAATATCAGCAGGCTGCCGAATATTGTCTGATTTGGATACCCATAAAAGCGTATGACAATGCAGTAAACCTCTCTTTTGAAACTCTATAGTATATAAATCTGAAATACATAAAAAAAATATAAACGGTTAGAAACCACAAACACGAAAGACAAGTAATAAAAAACAAAAAAACAATAACACTTACGTGCTTCAACCTCGCCAAAAGTTTTATCCTCCTTTTGAAACGTAATGAAGGCCCTGACTTTCATTTCAAAAACTCTAGCTATCACATCAGCTCTACTGTGAACATCATGTTGACCATAAGTTTCCATATAACGCGTTATCGCTGGCCACTTCACGGTTCATGTAAACGTAATAAAGGATTGTGGATTTCCATATACTCTACATATCGGTAATGCATCCTGATAGTGACTATACATATAACGGGGACCACCAACAAACGATGTAGGTAAGAAACCCTGTTTACCCATAAATTTATTCTCTCTATCCCCTTTAGACAGAGCATCATAAAGACCGGATAGATACTCGGACCGTAAATGTTCCTGGTTATTTAAAATGAATTGTAAACGATCTACTTCAATACAAGTGTAAGCATCAACCAGGTACTACTGGAAAAGCCGACCCGAGTTAAGAATAAGAGAGTATATATCCCGACGTGCATGAATTTGATAACTATAGTACATGTTTAATGTTAGGTTTCTAACACTGGTACCTGTATCACCCCGTAATTTCAAACGCGGAGACCAACCGTCCTCACCAAACGGGAAAAGCAAAGGATATTGTAATGACATATAACTGGGATGAAGTTTACTCACTCGTTGAGGACGACCAGATTTAGAGTAGACAAGAATATCATAGCCGACCAAATTACTATCGTCACCGGTAACAATACAACCTAAAGTGCCAGGTGATGGTGAACCGTATCTACGATCTGGGATGTTACTATACAAACGAACTGCATAAGAATCCACATTCATAACCTCAGCCATCTCCTTAGCTGTTTTAAATGTCCTAACATATTCATTGTGCTTAGAAAGGGATTCCATTAGAACACGCACAATACTAGCATCCAAATCTCTCCTAGAAGGATCATGAAAGGCCTTTAATCGATTAGAAACCTCATTAGCAGTATCAAAAACATACAACTGCAAAAACCTTGGACCTTTAGAGTCATCAGGACATAAAGACCCTATCCAATGACAAACCTGACCTGAAACCTTAAAAACATATGGGTCATTACCATTATTAATATCCTTATCAACAACAGCCCCAAAAGATGTCATGGAAAACATAGATGTCATGGAAAACATACTTTTATAACCTCTTATATCATTCAAAAAACCAATGCCTGCATAAAGGTTATAAATTTCAGAAGGAGGTCTTGGCGGAAGAGGCAGCACAACAGAACCTCCCTTACAACAGTGATTATACTCAGGACAATTGGTTGCATAACGATTTCTAACCCTTTCAACATACCAAAACAGAGCTCCACAAAACTGACAAACACAAACACAATCACCACAGTCATAGTATGCAGGAAGAGCAGCAGAAGCAATAATTCGGGACTGTTTACTTCTACGCGTAGCAGGAGCAGCAGACACAGAGCACTCCACACACTCAATAATGTTACGTTTCCTACCCTTAGGCATATCGACGAACAGACGAAACGAACAACATAAAATAATTCATCGTAGCGAAGGAAAACAAATTAAAACCCTAACAGAGGAAATACTAAAAAGGAAAAGAAGAAGAGGCAGAAGACAAGTACCTGGAGCAAAAGAAGAGAAAAAACAAAAAAGAAAGAAGGTCGGCCAATATCATCAACGAAGACCCAATTAACGTCACAACGAAGTGGCAGAGAAGACAACACATATGAAGACAAAACATTAAAGTAATGAAGGAAAAAAAAAAAACAAATCAAAGCTAGCTTTGGGTCGAAGAAAGGAAACATAAAGGAACTAAGGTGGTGAAAATAAGAAAGCAAAAAAAAGTTATTGTAGAGAAGGCTCCCCCATATTAAAGTTATATATAATTGTAATTCTTTTTTTAACTCGAAATAGTTAATTCTTATTATTTTAACTTATTTAGATATGTCATACAACTTTAATTTTTTGGCAAAATTTCTAATTTAAATTGTTCAATCCAGATCTAAGTTGTTTATCTAACAAATTGGGTTAAAAAAAACCAACAAAAACAAAAACCAAACAAAAAAAACATAAAAAGGTCATAAGTTGAATTGAGTTCCAAATCTAACCCCTAAATAAACATGTAGGATTAAATTGAAAAACCTATGCTCTATTAGTTTAAACAAATCAAACTAAACCAATTCTATAGTTTATTGTTACATTTGCCCCTTAATATAATAATGTTTATATTTTTCAAAGTAAAAGGTTACGTTGTTCAAAAACCATCTTATGGACCTTACAAATGAATTGATACATGTAGGGAAGTTATCAATCACTTCCTCTCTGAAATTTGGTTTATCAAAATATTTCGGAGCCCTAGGTTCTGGCGATCTCGGTAGTTCTCCCCAGCGGGTTCAAACGCCGGTTATCTCTGTTTCTTCTCGTCGACTGCTTGTATTCAGGCTCCTTCTACGCTTTTCTTTGTCTGCTATTTGAGGGGATTGTGGCATGTTTGAGTTGTTTCCTGGATCGTCTACATGGCGGGGAAGAAAACCTGGGATTGGGAAATTGGTAACAGAAAGGCGAAGAATAATGTATGGAACGCAAATAAGGTTTTTGTTCCCTTCTATTTCACTAACTTTCCTTCTCATATTGATTCTAAGCAACTATGGGCGACTTGTGCCAAGTATGGGGCAATTTCTGATGTGTATATGGCACGTAAATTATCCAAGATTGGGAAATGATTTGCTTTTGTTCGTTTTATAAAAGTTAAGGATGAGATTGAATTGGAGACAAAATTACGTGGATTTTGGATTGGTAACTTTCACCTGTTTGTTTCTTTGGCGCGTTTTGGTCGAAGTGAGTGTAAAAAAAGGATATTTCGGTTAAGTCTTTGTCACAGGGAGGAGTAGGTCTTGTGCATGGGCCTCAATCAGGATCCTATGCTAACGCGGTGAAAAGGAATATTGGGCAGAATTCGAAATCTTTAAAGCCTGCACCTTCTGTTGTATTACGAGGAAATGAGATTTGTAATTCTTTTTCTATGCAAACATCCATTTTTGGCCAAGTTAGGAACGTTAGAATTATTCCTAATCTTTTCGTGCTTCTTAGAGAGGAAGGTTTCAATGACATCCAAGTTAGATATGTTGGTGGTGATTGGGTTTATGTGGCTTTTGAGTCGGAAGTAGCTTGCTCCAAGTTCAAGAAGTCAACAGGGGTACGTGTATATTTCTCAGTTTTTTAGACCAATAGTTAATGGGTTCAGGGTTATGGAAAGGGTGGTTTGGATTGAGTTTATGGGGCTACCATGTTGTGCTTGGAATGATGATGCGGTTACTAAGCTTGCTAGTTTTTGGGGGGTATTTTGCTTTGTGGAGGATGATGTTGATGCTCCATTGGCGGTTAAACGTGTTTTTATTAAAACTAGCAAGCCTTTTATGATTCGTGATAATATCAATATTGTAGTTCAAGGGATTTCTTATGAGATTATGGTCCGTGAACTTTCCAATTGGGAACCAGACATAGTTAGTAGTGGGGGTTAGTTTAGACCGGGATATTTCCGACCTTTCGGGTGACTCGGATGATGATGAGTTTTTAGAAAAAGATATAGAAGAAGAAGGTACACCTCTCTGTAGTAAGAAAAATGTTGAAAAGGAAGATGGGGAGGTCGGTGAAGTCTCAAGTGAGGAAGAGTATACGATTCATGGTGAGCTTGGGGCTGGTTTTGTGGACCGGAAGGGGAGGTTCTTTCCTACTAGTAATATAAAAAATGGTGCTTTTACAGGTGCTCATCAACCTGAATCCAATCTTGTTGCTGGTACTCCGGAGACGGTGATTCCTTCAACCAAAGATGATCATTTTCAGGCTGCTAGCTCGCATGTTGTTCCTGTCATAGTTCCTTTTACTGTTGCTGTAGCCCCGCTGTCTTCTGTTTTTCTGGAAATTTCAGGAGCAGGTTCGGCTGGTGTGGTCCATCGGTTTGCGGTTGAACCACCTGTTGTGGTTGCGGAGCATTGTCCTTCAGATTCTCTTTCGCAGCCTCCTAGTTTTAGACGAGACTCAAAAGGTCCTAATTCGTCTAATTCTAGATCTACGAGTTCTCATGGATCCTCCAAACTTTTAAAGAAACGTGTTCTAGCAGAAGTAGATGATATTGAGGGTATTATGAAACAATACTTTGAAATGGGTGGATTGTTGGGGTATGATATGGAAAATAGCAAGAACAAGGTCCGCCAAATTTTATCGAATATTGGTGTGATTCAGGTGGATCAATGAATTGTCTTTCGTTGAATATATGTAGTACCCGTTCTTTCTCTAAAAGGAACTGGGTCAAGTCTCTTTGTTTTAAGAATGTGATTTCTTTTTTAGGTTTGCAAGAAACAATGATGTTACAAGTTGAGTTGTTTCAAATTCGGAGTCTGTGGGGTAATTATAACTTTGATTTTGCGTGTAGCAGTGCTCGAGGCCATTCGGGTGGGATTTTGTCGGTTTGGGATCCTAATGTTTTTTCAAAGTCTTTTGTGGTTTGTACTAATAATATGGTTATTGTTGGGGGTAAGTGGATCCCTTTTAATCTTGATTGTTATATGGTTAATGTTTATGTGCCACAAGATTTAGCCGGGAAGCAAGATTCATGGAATTTTCTTTCTTCGTTTGTTCGTCGACAGGGGGGTAATTATGTTTTTCTTGGTGATTTTAATGTGGTCAGGAATGCTTCTGAGAGACATGGGTCAGTTTTTTGTCAAGTGTCGGCTGAAGCTTTTAATGATTTTATTGATGAGTTAGGGCTTGTCGATGTTCCTATGATAGGAAAGAGATTTACTCGTATTGATTCGGGTGCTTCTAAACTTAGTAGGTTGGATCGTTTTTTAGTCTCAGATTAGATTTTTGATATGTTTCAAGGCTTACAGGTGGCAGTTTTAGATAGGAAGTGGTCTGACCATTGCCCTATTTTTCTTCATGATCATTTGGTTGATTACGGCCCGTCTACTTTTAAATTCTTTAAATCCTGGCTTCACTTGGAGGGTTTTGATGAGGTGGTTCGTTCTAGTGTGGATGAGTTTGTGATAGATCACAACTGAGCAAGTTTATTTTATTTAAAAATAAGCTTAAATTTATTAAAAATAAGATTCGTAGTTGGAATTTGGATTATAAAGCTAAAACAGATCATGTGCAGCTTAATTTTGATAATAGGTTGAAGGATATTGATAATATTATTGATGGTGGCGAGTCTTCTGACTTTCTGTTAAACGAGAGAAAGCAGATTTTATATGAAGTTGCAAAGTTAGATAAGATTCGTGCTATGGATGCTGCACAGAAAGCTAAAGTCAATTGGTCGATTGAAGGGGATAAAAACTCGAGCTTTTTCATGGTATCTTGAAAAAAAGAAGGCGTCAAATGATGATCCGAGGTATTTCAGCAGAAGGTGAGTGGGTGACGAATCCTATGGCTGTTAAAAAGAATTATTTGATTTTTATGCAGCAAAATTCCAACCGTTTGAAGGAATTAAAATGGCTTCTCATAGCAATAAGTTTGCTACTCTCAGTTTTGAAGCTCTGGAGTCTCTTGAGGCAGTGTTTTCGGCGGATGAAATTAAGGAAGTTGTTTGGGATTGTGGTGGAGATCGAGCTCCTGGTCCGGATGGTTTCTCTTTTCAATTTATGAAACATTATTTGGATATTTTGGGCTGTGATGTGGTAGCTTTTGTGCAGAAATTTTTTCACAAACCGGTCATTCCTGTTGGTTGCAACTCCTCTTTTATTACTTTAATTCCAAAGGTAGATAATCCCTTGTTGGTTAATGACTTTAGACCTATTAGCCTTATCGGTTTACAATTTAAAGTTGTGACAAAAATCTTAGCTAAAAGGCTTTCTTTGGTTCTTCATGATGTCACTGGGATCGAGCAATCTGTCTTTCTTAAGGGGAGACAGATTTTGGATGGGCCGTTGATGGTTAATGAGATTGTTTCATGGTTCAAAAAAAAGGAAAAGAAACTCTTGATCTTTAAGGTGGATTTTGAGAAGGCATATGACTCGATTAGTTGGGAATATTTGGATCAAGTCATGGGTTTTTTGGGTTTTGGAGATAGATGGAGATCTTGGATTAGAGGTATGTTCAAGAATGCTCGGTCTTCGGTTCTTATTAATGGTAATCCGACAGATGAATTCCAGTTGTTTAGAGGGTTGAGACAGGGGGGGGTCCTATCTCTCATTTTCTGTTTATTATTGCTATGGAAGGTCTTCATGTAGCAATGAAAGATGTTGTGGCTCAGGGCATGTTTCGAGGTATATCTCTGGATTCTAGCGATTTGGTTATTTCGCACCTTTTTTTGTGGGTGATGCTTTGTTTTTGGGTGGGTGGAATTAGCAAAACATTTGGAATCTTATCCGCATTCTTCGGTGTTTTTATATGGTTTCGGGCTTAAGAATTAACCTTCTTAAATCTAATATTTTGGGTGTTCGGGTGGCTCATTCTGAGGTCTCTTCGTTGGCTTATTTTACTGGGTGTTCTATGGATTCTCTTCCTTTCTCCTATCTAGGATTGCCGGTGGGGGAGTCCATGGTGCGCGTTCAAGGTTGGGGATCTATTATTGAACGTTTTCATAAGAGGTTGTCTTCGTGGAAAATTAAGTTATTTTCCATTGGAGGCCGTTTAACTCTTACTAAATTTGTGTTGGGTAGTTTGGGACTTTATTTTTTCTCTCTTTTTAGAGTTCCTTCTACTCTTTCTCATTTTTTGGAGGCTTGTAGAGCTTCGTTCTTTTGGGGGGTTGAAGAAAGTCAACGTCGTATACACTGGGTGAAATGTGATGTTATTTTAAATTCTAAAGAGAATGGTGGGCTAGATATTGGCAGCTTGGATGCGTTTAATCTTTCCTTGTTATATAAGTGGCGGTGGAGGTTTTTAAATGAAGGTCTGATTCCTTCCAATTATATGTCCATTGATATTGGTAATGGGTCGTTGAGTAGTTTTTGGAGTGATATTTGGTGTGGAGGTTTGGTTCTTCGTTCTCAGTTTCACATGTTATTTGCTTTGTCTACAGTGAAGAATGCTTTTGTTTGTCATTTTTGGTCTGATAATAGATGGCGGTTCTCTTGGCGGCCCCCTATTAGAGGTGGAGTCGAGTCGTTGCAATATGATATTTTATTGGAGATTTTGAGTTCCATTTCTTTGGCGCATGATCCGGATAAATGGAAGTGGGAACTTGATTCGTCTGGGATTTTTTCTGTTAAATCTGCTAGAAAACATATTGATGACCACATGCTGCGCGTGGGTGGGACGGTTACAAGATGGAATAAGTGTGTTCCAGTTAAAGTTAATGTTTTCTTTTGGCGTCTTATGTTAGATAAACTTCCTCTAAGGACAAATCTGCTTAATAGAGGAGTGGATTTGGAGTCGATTATTTGCCCTTGTTGTCAGGCTGGGACTGAGACTATTAATCATTTGTTTTTTCTTTGTCCTTTGGCTACTCAAGTGTGGAATTGTATTTCTTTGTGGCTAGACTTGCAGGTTCCTTCTTTCTCTATGCCTTCGGAGGTGATTAGTTGGATTGATGCTCGTCCGGTTTTTAGAATGGAAAGAGTTATTGTGGAATCGGTGTTTATGACTACCATTTGGGTGCTTTGGACGTATAGGAATGCGCTTGTCTTTCGGTCTTCAAAGTATCGGAAACAATTTATCTTTGATAATATTGTTGATTTTTCTTTCCGTTGGTTTACTTTTCGAAACTCTAACTCTAGGATCAATTGGATTGGTTGGTTAATCAATCCAATTATGCCTTGATCTTGTATTTGCTAGCTCCTAGCTAGTTTTGGTCTCTTTAATTTATTTCGTTGTTGTTCTAAAAAAAATCAATCACTTCCTCTCAAAGATGCTCATGATTTGAATATCTTCAAATAAACTTGAACTTACAACTTAAGACCGCCTAGTACCTTATTTGAACAAAACCAACCTCTATATAAGTAGCAACAACACCACCATATATACAGAGTAAATTTTTGCAAAATGGTCCATGTGGTTATGTGTTCTCTTAATCAGTTCCTGAACTTTTAATTGTAATACTAATATTTTAATGATTTGATTTTGTTCCGATTTTAATTTCCGACTTAAAATGATTAGAATTTATCGTTTTATGTTTTAATTATTTTTAAAATAATGAAAATTAAATAGCCCAACACCTAACCCCAACCCTCCTCGTCCTCACTCGTCGTCCTCTCTCTTCTGTTATAGATTCAAAGCTCCACTACAACTTCTATATTTATATATCTTATTATAGAAGCATTTTTCCTCAAACCATATTCATTTGAAACCCCCTTTTTTAAGTTCCTCAAACCACATTCATTTGAAACCTATTTTTTTAACTAATGCAACTCAAAAGTTTTCTTAATTATGATTCAACACTCAAAAGTTTTATAACTTATATTATGTTTAATAATCATTTAGTGAAAAGTTTACTATAAAAAGACCAATCTTTTGGGAAGACATGCATACAAATCATATACAAATTTCAGAAAGAAAACAAACTTAAAGCTTTTTGTGTTGGGTTGAAGTCTTGTCACCACTTTTGGAGATATGCTATTATATTAGAGCTTTTAATTTGTAAGTTTTTTATACTAATTTGTTTTTATATTTTCTTCGTTTTTGGATTATTGTAATACAGTCGTTGTATATTGTGGTTTCATCGTTAATATATTGATCATATGTTATATAGGGTGATGTGGAAAATATTTAATTAAATAATTTAAATATGTTTTTTTTGTTTTGTAATTGTACCGTTTCAAAAAAGATAATTAATTAAAACTCATACATATGTTATACTTTCCATCTCTCTCTCTCTCTATATATATATATATAT